TTTTTATGTCGCCTTTTTCTGATAAAGGTTTTTATGTCGCCTTTTTCTGATAAAGGCTTTTTATGATGCCTTTCTTTTCTCATTTACACTTAAGAATCTTGCCACCCCGACACTTGCGCGCTGTTTCTTGGCGGAAGTAATCTTGAGGATCTTAAATCCTCAGCATTAGAAGATTTGATTAAAAAAAATGATGAGATTCCACAAAATTTTGTTCATGTGGTAAAAAAAAAAAAAGATGAGTATGTATAAACTTATTAATAATGGTTTAAAATTTTAAATTTTTAATGAACTAATGGAGAATTTTAAACTTTTTAGTTATGGGTTTATACATTTTAATAATGTACAAGAAAAAGACAATTTCTTTTACAGTGTAAGAGGAGCTAAATTTAAAATTGAAGAGGAGAAAAATATTACTGTTAAATTTCAACCTATCAAGAGAAAGAGTAACGAATCTCTTCATAGCGAATACCGTAATAAACCTGTAATTTGATAATTTTTTAAGAAATATCAAAGCATAAGTTATTAAGTTATTATTATTAAAGTATTTATTAACTTATAGGGTTCTACTTGGCAACCATATTATAACCTTTATGATGATAGGTAACGTTCTCATTTTAATTTTAATATATAAATTAAAAAATTTACTGATAGTTTACTTTTAATATTCATTATATAGTTCCCATTTCATCATTGTTCTTTGCCTTCCTTCTATTACAAATAAGGACGAAATCAAATTATTCACGGAAGGCGAAGAAAATATAATAATTTCCGGAGAATATAAAGAACTCGATTTTGCAGGAAGCATTTTAAAAAAATCGATACCGGTCGGCGATTTCGAATATGTTATAACATTACCATCAAAGTAAGTTGTTAAATTAATAAATTATATATTTATTATTATGCATATCCACTAACTTTTATTGATATGATAGAATTGAATTAACTAGTAAAGTAAAAATAGAAAAAATAGAAAATTCAAATATGTTTAAATTTGTAATAAAAAAATCACAAGAAAATAAACGAATAAAGCTTGATGTTGAATAATCGTTATTTGGTTGCACAATGATATCCTGAATTGCCATAATTTCGAAAAATTTCATAATACCGATACTTCATAAGCCTGAAAGGCAAAATCCCGAAATGAATAATCCCAAAAAGACTTATTATTAGTTAAAAGAAAAAAAACTATAATTTATTATTGATAGCGAACAAGTACCATAATATATGAAGATTATTGTAATACGTGTATATTATTTTCAATCAAAAAAATTATACAAAAAGTAAAATTTTCTTTTTGATAAATGTAATAAAGCGAATTTAGCAAATTTAACAAATTTTTTATTTAAACATATTGCATTATTAGCATTATAATGAATACTACAAATTGTTTCTTTTACATCTAAAATACAAATTTCTACATTATTATTATACAAATTTCTACATTATTATTATTTATTATTCATCGTCATCATCAGTAATAAAATCCTTTAGATTTTTTTCATCGACTTCATCAAAATATTCTTTAATAATATTAAGCTTTACTTCTTTCATGAACTTCTTTCCTTCTTCGCACATACTTGTACCATTTTTGTAATCAGCTATCTGTCCCGTCCTTACCAAATTAAGCCAAATTTCAAAATTGGCGGCAGAATTCATTGAACTCTTAAAAAAACACGCGCTTAATTCTTCAAAAGAATCAATTAAACGCCAGTCTTCATTTGAAAGTAAGAGTAATCGGTATATTCTCGGTGCCCGCTGTAACATTAAACTCATATTTTGCAAAGAAATTTGTGGAAAATATTTGACAACAATTGATTTTGCTTGTGATCTTGCCGTCTCGCTTTTACTTCGACTTAGATTTAACGCACAAAATGCTTGAAGTCGTGTATACGCCTTAAACACCTCAACATGGAATCTTAATTCCTTCCTTCTGGACATTTCTTTGTTAATTTGTTCCTTTACTTCACCATTAACAGATTGATAAATATTTTCGGCTAATTTTTTTGCAATATATTTGAAATTAACCGAAAAATTATCTCCTTGTTGAACCTTAATTGGTACTTTAGTAACCAATTCCAAACTACCTCCAACTTGATTCAAATTTACACTCTAAGTCCCTTTAAAGAATTTGAATTCTTGGTTATTTTGAGAAATGATCTTTAAATGGTCTAGTAAGGCTTTACGATAAATCTCTTTTTTTGGAAATATGATCTTATCACGCATAGGAGGTTCTTGAGGAAGTCTCAAGAATAAACCTAATAAGATATGTAAATCTTTGCCAACATTAATAGCGCTGGGACAAATTTCTTTAATTTTTTTCTTCTGAAAATAATCAGCGTACTGATTTGAACGTAATATTAATGTACTCTCAGAATCAACGACTGATATGGTGCCTTCAGAGATGTTAAATGTAACACTTAAGACTCCATGTTGTTTCATATTATCTAAATAATGAAACAATACATCGATAAAGTTGGTTCCAAATTTATTGATCTCTCGTTCCATCTCTCTTGAATCTTCTGCGAAAATATCAAATATTTATTACGCGGGCAGGAATAATAAAATTTAATAAAACGTCAATAATAATTTTAATTGCAAACCTGTTTCTTGAGGTGATGACTTAGTCTTGACTCTTTTGTCTGAATTATTAAATTATTTTCATTATTATCATTTGCTTAAAAAAAGTAACATAAATTAAAGTGGTATTGTATTGACTTACATTTTTTATTATTTACTTGCGAATTTTCCTCCTGTTCAGTAGTTACTCGAGATGATGATTCATGATCATATTGTTGAGACGATGTTTCTATTAAAGTAAAAAAAAAAATCGTAAATAGAAATCATAGAATATCTAATTAGTTAACTTTGCAAACCTGTTTCAGGATGTTCTTCAGACTGAGCAGAAGTATTATTAAATTGAAAAGGTAAAATAGCTGTTTTTAGTAGGTGAATATTTCGTATTTTTACTGGTTTTGAGAAGTCCATATTTTTTTTCAAATTGCAATAAAATTGGTAAAAGAAATTCGGTAATTTGAAAAAAAAGAGAAACCAAAAAAACGAAATTTTAAATATTTTTCATAAAATTTTTTTAATCGTAATACGTAATTCGACTTTTTTAAAAAAAAAAAATCTGAAATAAAAAATCGAACTACATCAGATAAAAAAAAAAAAAAAA